TTCCTTCTTTTTTCCCCTCTTTCTTTCTCGAGTGTCCTTGTAGCTTAGGCTTTTCTCAGACTGGTAGACTGAAATGATTCTCTTCCCTCAGGCTCCCAAGTAGGCAGAACTATAGACCCATGCCACTGTGCTCAGCTCCAGCATAAGTTTCAGCCTGGGCTGGTGAAGATGAGCTAGTGAGGGAGTGACCTTTGTTTAGGTAAGGAGCTGAAGAACTCAGCCTGATGGAGTCCTGTGCATGGCTAGAATAATATTCCAGACAGAGGGATGAGTAAATGGAACAGACACAGGCAAGAGTGAGCTTCCTGTAGCTGGGAAGTCATCAAATGGAGCAGTGTCGTGAGAGATGAGCAGGAGTCAGAAATGGAACCTTTTGAGCCGTTGTAAGGACTTCAGGTTTTCCTGAGTAAGGTGCAGGTGCTGGATTGGAGGCTTTGAGCAGAGGAGTTCTGTGACCCGCGCAGAACTCTGGCCGCTGTGACAAAGATAGAGCAAAGAAAGGTGTGCTGAGGTGAATGGAGTAAGGAGGAGTTGGGGACTACTCTCTCTCTCTCCTTCAAGAAAGAGACAGGGCTGCCCCCTTCTGTTGCCCTGCGTCTTTCTTCCTGTGGCAATGCTTCTGCCTCAGCCCCCTGGTTGTGGGGGATTAGAGAGTGAGCACCACACCAGTTTCCCATCATCCATGACCTGCACTTCACACCCTGACCTCTAGGTTCTCCTGTGCCTTCTCCCTCCTTCAGACATTTGCCTCACTCTTCTCCCCACCCAGAGAGCTAGGTCTACCCCAGTCCTGCTCCTCACTCAACTTCTTCGTGCTCTCTGCTTTTGTCCATAGGTGATACCTGTTGAAGGTGCCTGTCCTGCCTCCTCAGACTGGGCTGTCTAAGGCTATTAAGTTTTTCCATTATCTAATAGGCCACTTCCTTCCAAGTACCAGCGCACCATAATCCTTCTCTCTCTGCACTTGAGCAAAAGGATAGAGCGAATATTTCCCCGGTGTCACTCAGAATAATGACTACTTTAAGCCAATGGAAAAAAAAATTCTGGGAATTCCCAAATTTGTATATATTCCATATATTCTCTGTTGTCCTGTGTAATACCAGGTTCACGGGACCCTCAGAGACCACCAGGAGATGACTCGATGCAATAGCAAGAGAGCTTTATTACAAGAGCAATCAAATTCGGGACCAAAGTCTCACTGACGCAGCAGTAGAGAAGTGGGACCCTGAGCTCTGAGTGAGCAGGGTTTTTAAAGGGAAAGTCTCTGACCAGGGGGTTTCCATGACAGCAAGCAGGGGGGCACATGTTTTCATGACAGCAAGTGGGGGGGGCATGTCTTGATGTTACAGGATTGGGTAAAAGTTAGAGGCATATAATCACAATTGCTAAGGCATATAAACACAATAGCTATTCTTCGAAACTATATCTGAAACATTGGGGAGAATTTTCCACCCGATTGTGAACTGATTCCCATTGATTATTGCCAGGGAGATTGTCCCTATTTTCTATGAAGCATTTATTCTGTATTATTTCCTGGAGGCTGTTGCTAGGAGAGTTAACTTTGTTTTCTGCCAAGTGTACATTCTGTGATATTTCCTGGTACCTGAATTCAGCTCTCAGTCAAGATGGTTCTTTATTAAAATGGAGTTATACTCAGGCTAACTATACCCAGGCTAACTTAAACTCTTCACCTGTATTTTTATTTATCCTAGGCTACTTTCTGAAAGTATATTAATGCTAAGTAACACTTTACTTTCTCTGAGTTATGCAAATTTGCTTTGAATATATGTTCATTTTGAATTTAATCATCTTAATGATTTGAATGTCTGCATTTTAGGAGCAACTTTGATCTACCTCATGAGTCCAAGATTTTTTATTTATGTAAGCTGTGCCTTATCAATATGGGTAAGATGAATTATGAAATTAATATTTTTACACTGTTAAAAAAACTTACATTAAAGATGTTGGAATGTCCAAAAATAATGTCCAAAATACATGTGTTTGTTTAAAATGTTTTAAATGAGCTGGGCGTGGTGGATTTCAAGTTTAATCCAGCACTCCAGAGGCAGAGGCAGGTAGACCTCTGAGAGTTCAAGGACAGCCTGGCCTACAAAGAGAGTCCAGGACAGCCAAGGCTGTTACACAAAGAAGCCCTGTCTCAAAACAAACAAAAAAAGAAAGAAAGAAAGAAAGAAAGAAAGAAAGAAAGAAAGAAAGAAAGAAAGAAAGAAAGAAAGAAAGAAAGAAAGGAAGAAAGAAAGAAAGAAAGGAAGAAAGAAAGAAAGAAAAGAAATACTAACAAACAAAACAAAAATTTTTAAAAAGAAAAAGTATTTTAAATGAGCAACTGCAGAATGAATAGAAAATGCACAACACTTATGTATAAAGCATGATTCTTAAAGGGAGCAGGTGGGGGAGGGAGGGGCACAGCCAGCTTGAAGCCAGTGAAGCCATCTCTCAGGGACCATTCTCAGCCGCACCCTCCTCACCACGTCTCATGGCATTGCTTCCTTGCTGTCTTTTGTTTTTTGTTTTTCTTTTCTCCAGCGTGACTCTGGTGTAGACAACCCTTAACGGTGTCATTGTTTAGTCTTTGAAGGGTGCGTAAATGAGATCCTACCATGTATATTCTATCTCCTTTAGCTGACTCTCACGTTCATGATACTGACCTTGTCATGAGCAGCCCTGAAACTTTTCATTACTGTGTAGATCTCCTTGTGTGACATAGCATAATTTACTTTCCCAAAAGCCAGCATTGGTTCTGCTGGTTTTCAAAATGAATTTATTTTTAGTATTTTTTTTTAGGATGTCATGCAACATGTTTTGATAATATTTGCCCCCAAGTCCTCCCCTTAATTTCTCCTGGATCCGCGCCTTTTCCTCTCAGCTTTATATCCTCTCTTCTGTGTGTCTTCATTCTCATTATATTTTCAGTTGGTGAAGTTTTGACTTCTCTCCTTCCCTCCTTTCTTTTCCTCACCCCCTCTGTTTCCCTTCTTTCTCCTCCCTCTTTCTTGCTTGCTTTCTATGCTTGAGACAGAAATTGGTGTCTTGCTCTGCCATTAAGCAATGGTTCTAGCCCTCTACTCTTACGTTTCTTACTTTTATTTTAATCACTCTTTTGCTTTCTTTGAGGTTCATTTGTTGTTCATTTTTCCACTATTTTTCCCTTGTGGCATGCTCTCAGCTGTCTCTATGTAGCCCAGGCTAGCCATTAATTTATAATCCTCCTGACTCAGCCTCAGGCATGGGACATCATGTCCAGCCCAGTTCTAACTTCTAAACACACATAATTTGCTTACTTAGCCTTTCCTTTCTAACAGAAACATGGAAGATCACTGCTTTCTTTAACCATGCATGTGATAAGTTTTACTGTATTTTGTTTGAATATTTTATTATTTCACAATTATTGGTTTGATGTATTGACTTCTTATAAATTAATTTATAAAAAGCCAATGAGAGTTTTTAGGCTTCTGCGGTAGTGGTTTTATCTTAATTGCTGTAAAGTCCGAGAACATGAAGCTAGTCCCACCCCACTCCACCCCCGTCACATGGCTAATTTTATGATTTGCTGCGTGTGTATTAGATGGTGTGTATTCTGAGTTCGTTCCAGCATTCGTAATGAGACTTTTAGGTCTTACAGACTTACAACTGCACAGCACGTTTAATGCACATTTATCTTGAAAGACTCTAGGTAGAGCCTCTTTAGACGGAGAGACCCCGCTTCCCAAGAATCAGCGAGATCAGCCTTCGGATGCAAGCCGCAAGAGGTTTATTTCGATACACGGGTACCCGGGGTGACAAAGCCTTTCGGAAGACCTGCGCGCCTCTCGGTTGGGGTAACGGGTTTTTATAGGGCTCGGGAGCAAGAAGCACGTTTACAGAAGCGAGAAGCATAGTTACGGGGATCTGATTGGGGGATTTGAACAAAGCCATAGTTAGGTTACGTATTTGGAGCAGGGAAGGCGGGAAAGCAGATGTGAACTAAGTCACGTAGCTGGTTCAGAGAAGGCGGGAAAGACTCCTGGTTCTTATCTTGGGTGTCCCAATTGTTTCGGGCGCCCAACCGCAGATACCCTGTGGTTGGACACCTGTCCTGCCCTGCCTCTGACCCTGCATTGCTTGTAAAATAGTGTTGCCAGCATTATGCTAGGGCTTTTTATTTTTTCAATCTATTCTTTCTTATCCTATCAATTACAAAGAGGGAGATAGGGGCTTAAAAGCACCTCCAATGATTGTGATTTCTCGATTTCATCTGGTACACCCTTGTGTCAGCTATTTGAACTCTTGTTCATAAACACAAGAAGGATCCTTTTACTTCCACGTTCTCTTATGTTTTTAGAAATACTTGTCTTTACACAGACCATGATCATGTCTTAATGTCCAACCCATCCATCTTAGCCTGTAACTGGAATAGTTGATTCCCTTTTACTAGTTGTTAACTGGTGTTCTAGTTAAGCCTTTTATGTAATTTTGTGTTTTCTTTCTACCTGGCTTACTGTGAGTTTCTTGTTCTTTTCTTCGTTATTTTATCTTTCTGTGCGTCATTATGAGTTGCTTCTTCGGACAGTTGACTGATTTTTTAAGTTATATCTGGTCTCCCTTGTCTCCATCCTCCTGCCTCTGCCTCCTAAGAGTGAGGATCACAGCAGGTGTGCGTCACCACGTCCAGCTGCTAGCAACTGAACGTTTGGTTTTAGTGTCTATGGTTCTACTTTGAGCTCTAAGAATTTTATTTATCTGTTTGTTTTGTAAGTATTTTTGACTCCCTGCTCAGCTTGCCAGGCTTGTTGCTCTTGATACAATAACCATTATTTTACAGCCTGTGGCTGATAACCTGGATTTGTGCCGTCTCCGTCTTTGCTGTCGTTCATTGTAGATTTCATCTATGGTGCTTTCCTTGCCTTCTACAATTGGCTGTCTCTGACTATGAGCTGGACATCCTGTTTAAAAATGATTGCAAGCATAACGTGAAGCTAAGACAATGGCTTTTCCCTTAGAAAGGCTTGTGATTGCCTCCTCTCACAATCACATGGAGCTGCTAGCTGCTGTCTCTAACTTCAGGCTGCAGTTGCTGATGGGAATGATAAAGCTGGTGAGCACTGGTTCATCTGGGTCTAAGGGCGGAGGTTTCCTGGACCATGCCGATAGGGGGCAGCTGAACTGTGAGCCCACCTATTGGTTACTCTCTTTTCATTCACCTCCTTGCCTTGAGGGTGTGATTCCAAGCATTCTAGGCTCTGAAGAAAGCGCTTCTTTTGGCTGATAGTCTGAGGCAAACAGAGCTTCAGGGCTGGTTAATCTATTGCTTTTGACCAGCAGATGTTCTCAGGGTGTGCTGGTAGTTGTCATTTTATGGTCTTCTAAGTGCTTGGTATTTTCTCATTAGCTTCTTCTTCTTTTACGCTCTTGATTTTTGAAAATATTTAAGGTCATAAGTACATTGCATAAGATAAAGTCATAGTCATTCTCCATAAAATATGTTTTTGACATCCTGTTTTGAAGAGTTAGTGTGCCCTTTGGGGCAATTGTGTCTTTCTGGGGTTAATTATCCTCCACCGGTCTCAATGGTTAAAGCTTTGGCTTTTTTGTCTTACAGGGAGACGGATGTGGCACTTTGCCATGTCTGTATTCCTGATAGAGCTGTACGGACACAATCTCCTCCTAACGGCAGTGTTTGGCTTAGCGGTGGCTGGCTCCGTGTTAATATTTGGGGTTTTAATTGGTGACTGGATCGACAGGAAACCAAGAAATGAAGGTAATGCTTTTCTCTGGGGTGCCGAGGACACGTGGCTCCCCAGCTTTGGTACCTGACGTCGTGAAATAAAATATCTCAAAACTGTGCTGAGTAGCAGTGGGTCTTAAATGAGAGACTCTCATAGAAAGAGTGGTTCCGCTCTGGTTCACTGTCAATTTCCACCTTTGGAACACATTGGTGTGAGTTAGTTAGTTGGTTGTTATTGTGCAGTGCTGTAGACCAGACTCAGCTCCACACATGCCGCTGAGCACTTGGTGATCCAGCCACATACCTGAGCCCTTGAACGGAGTGTTAGATTGGGCTCTTTGCTTGCTTGCTTGCTTGGTTTTTCAAGACAGGGTTTCTCTGTGTAGCCCTGACTGTCCTGGAACTTGGTCTGGCCTCGAAATCAAAGAGATCTGCCTGCCTCTGCCTCCTGAGTTTTGGGATTAAAGGCGTGAGTCACCAGGGGATTTAGATTCTTACCAAGTACACGTTTTCAGAACTGAATTGTCAGAAAGCACTCTTCTCTTAATGTTCTAGCATTACCTGTGAACGCAGAACATTTTTTTTTATGTGTTTATTTTTCATCAAGACAGTTTCTATGTAGCAGAAATGCCCTGTATGAGACAGCTAACCTCAATATTGGGAGACTTACTTGCTCAGATGGAGATCTCCATTTAGCCTCTAGTGATAATATTGTCATAAACTCTCCCTTTGCCCAGGAAAAACATATGCCTTCCTAAACTGTCTTGTTCTTAATATTGACTACTCAGCATAGCTATTTTTTAAATAGCATCGAGCAGACTTGGAGAGACAGGCCATTGAAAAGTCAATTGCTTTAAAACCTGAAGTATTACTCTTTAGACCCAGCTCCTACAACTCAGTCAGAGATGTGGTAAATAAAGCCAGGAGAGTCAGAGAGTCAGCCTTAGAATTTCACATTCTCTAGATTAGCTGTAACCTGGGTTGTTTTGTTTTATTTTTTGTTTTTTTGTTTTTTTTTTTTTTGTTGTTGTTGTTGTTGTTTTGTCATCTTCCTTTGCATTTTTCTTTACTTGCAAAGTTCAGCTTTGCTTTTCTTGCTTGGTTTTGTTTTGCGTTTTTTAAAAATGTTGCAGAGGCTTTCTTTAGTGCTCATGGGGCCTACCTTTTGAATCCTACCTAAGCCTGGGATTGCTGATGGAAATGATGAGCCTGGTGGGCACAAACAAGCACGTGGTGAAACATAATGGCTCCATATTAGGTGGAGGTGTAACTGTGATCTGCCTCCTAAAGCCAACAGTAAATATCGGGCCCTGGGCGTTTCCGTTTGCAGTTGCTCATGCCTCGCTCTTCATTCAGAACGCCTCTGGCACTGCCTGCTGTGTGGTCCTGATGCTGGTGTTCTCCTACCAGATGGAGATGGAGCTAATCTGGCATGGCTGGCTCACCGTGAGTGTCTCCCCTCTCACACCTGCACCTGAACACTATCAACGCACCCACCTGTCTGTTGGGAGGTGCTTCCTGCCTCACTGTGCCCTTTCGTCAGTGCCCTCCAGGCCTCTCATTTCTGAGTTGGAGCCCAAATTCCACAGAGAATGAGGCCTCAGAACACCAGAGTTGTCTGCAAGGTACAAATTAGCATTGCGCCTGGTCTGATGGGGGAGAAGAAGAGAATAGATTTAGCTTAGACTTAACATAGCCTGTTCCTCTCAAATGTCACTGGGTTTGTTTATGTGTTCCTCAAGATGTCAGATAAATAACTGTGTTCTGCTCTGGGCTAGAAGGTCTATTCTTGGCCTCCCTCCAGCCTCTTCTTCCCTCCTTTGGTAGGTGGCTTGCTATGCAGTGGTGATCTCCCTGGCGGCTGTGACAAACCTGGCTGGCACCGCGCTTACTATCACCATTCAGAGGGACTGGATTGTGAGCCTCACCAGGGACAACAGAGGCCAGCTGGCTGGTGAGCACTGCCACCCTCACCGGTCCTCGGATGGGCAGAGCCCCAGGGCTCCTGGAAAGGCCGTAGCATAGCTTGTAGAAGGAATTTGGAGCCAAGCAGATCTAGGATTGCATTCAGCTGAAAGCTGCGCTCTCTTTCACCAGCTTCCTGTCTGGGGGCAAGTTCTCAACCTCTCTGAACTCAGCTTCTCTCACCTGTAGCATGGGGCCAGTACACACACACACTGGAACACACACACGCACACACCCCACGTGCACACACGCTTGCACACATGCATGCCTATCCACATTCATTCGATCTGAGCTCACTCGGGCGAAGGAAGGATTTCGTGAAATCCAGGTGTTCGTAAGTGCTGAACACAAATCTGCACAGAAGGAATGTCCAAGAGATGACCATCACCGTTATCACCTAACATACAGGTAGTCGGTGGTTCAGGAGGGAAGCTTTTCACTTACAGAGGATCTGGAGAAGCCATTTTAGACCTAGACAATAGATGAAGGAAAAGATTTCTAAATTCCAGTGATAACCTCCCACATTCCACACCAAAAAAAAAAAAAAAAAAAAAAAAAAAACTCCTCTAGTGTGACTGTTGATTCCTGCTGATGGTGGAGATAGAAATTCGTTTTCTAGTAAAGGAGCTCAGCAGAACAGTCTGACAGCTTGTCTTTTTCTCCCATTTAACAAAGTGTGCACAGCTCCCTTTGCAGTGTGTTCTAATTGCCCACTTAGAGGGGAAGATTTCAAGCTACCCTATACTTGAGCGTTGTAGTGCCTGAGTGTTGATGGCCAAGATAAAGGAAGCTGCTAAGGAGTCTAAAATACACGCCTTGCAGAGCAGAAGCCCTTAGCATCATGTTTTCTTTTTAAATTGCTATTATTTGGATGTACGGTGGCTTCAGTAACATCACCCAGAGTAAGAGCTCTGCAGATAAAAGCCAGTGAGCCTTCAGTGTATCCTGTCTTGGGGTCCAGAAAATCTTACATTCTCTGTTAATTTCTTTTAAAGGACTTCAAAGTAGATTTTGGCTCACGTTTATTATAGGTTTGGAATGAACTCGTGAATATTTTCTTCACTGGTGGTAAAATCCATCAGCTTTGGAGTCCGATGGTTTGGATTTTGAGTCTTGGTGCCATTGTGTTCTTTCTCTGCAATTCTGAGAAAACAGTTTTTCCTGTGTGTGCCTCCATTTCCTAGTTTGTAAAATGGAAGTACCATTGCCTTCTCAGAATTGGGAGGGTTAACTGAGATGAGCGTAGGTATAAGGTTCAGGACTGTCTGCCTGGCACAAAGTAAGAATTCTACGCTTTCTCCTCTCTCCTCCAGTTACCTTCCTTCCCACACCACTCTGCTGGTTATTAATTAGAGGCCGTTACCAATATTGGCGTTGTAAAGAGTGTTTACCAATAGGATCATTCACATTCCACCACAGCTGGTCTTGCAGTTGTTTTCCAGGTTGAAAAGACTGCTGCTTAACCTACAGACAAGCCTGCTGTCCCCACCATTGACCCTGGGGTAGCTGCCAAGCCCAGTGAAAACACAGTGTCAAGTTCACCAGGAGGAAGGCGGCAGCCACCCACCGAGTCTGTGTTTCCTCCTCTCCCCTGCAGGGGTGAACGCAGCAATGAGGCAGCTGGACCAGGTCATCAGCATATTTACCCCCCTGTCCGTGGGCCAGGTGATGGCATGGGCATCTCATGTGATTGGCTGTGGTTTCATTCTCGGATGGAACTTGGTTTCACTTCTTGTAGAGTTTCTATTTCTGTCCAGGGTTTATCAGCTAGTTCCCCAGTTGGCTGTCAAACCCCAGCGGTGCACAGCAGGGTGCTTCCTAGAGCGGCAGCGAAAGGCTGTGAACATCTGAGGTAATGCAAACCCGGAGAGAGCGCTAGTTCTTTCCAGTCCTCCCATGTTAGTGTTTCACTTATTCTTTGCAGACCGCGTGTCTAACCACATCTTACTATTTTATCCGTAAGTGTGCCTAAAAACAGTGATAAACGAGAGGCCAAAGGGTCATGAAGTTCACATGACTTGACAGCGTTTGTGGGGGCGGGGCGGGGCAGGGTTACTTTGTACGGTTCAGTGGATTATGAATAACTTCATAGACTCCATTCAGAGAAGGTCCAGCGAGAGCAACGCCCCCGGGATCGCAGGATACAACCTGCGTCGCCTATCTCGCCATCTGGGAAGACAAATTACTCCTTCCCATCCTGCTTGTGAACACCTTCCCCAAAGCCCCTGAACTTGAGAGAGGCAAATGTGTGGAGGAGTCTGGGCTACGCTTGGAGCAAGATAAAATAGTGTACCCCTGCAGCGATTGTTTCAAATTAGAAAGTCCTAAGCATGTGGGGGTGAACAGGGACAATGACGGTACACCTGACCACCTCATTCTCCTCAAGGATGAGCCATCTTCATCTATCAACAGTGTTGCTCATCTAGTTGACTCAGTTCCTCTGTCTGGACTTATGACTAGCACTCATTTTTCTTAAGTTGTTTTTTAGCTAAAGGCCACCAGATCAATTTTATGAATGAACTGCATGTACTGGAGAGACAAATATGTAGAGGCGTGTGCTTAGATGGTGAATGGACAGATGGGTCTCCGTGAGCGGTAGATCAATAGATGGGGTACACCCCTCTCATCGACCACGGGTCGCCTATGTGAGCTTTCATGGCTACTTTATTTCATAGTCTCTGCCTTTCTGCAAAGTCAGAACAATTTCACCAGGATACCGGGAGAATTAAGTAAGGTAGTCCACACAAAGCCGGCTTTTATGCCCCCTCATACAGTAAGGCTGAAGCCAATGGTCCATTGCTTGGCTCCTCTAGACCTTGCAGGGCTCATCTTCCTTGTGCCGAGCACCTCTAACGCAGTTGCAAATTTGTAATCCACCTGCACAAGCACCTACCTCAGACAGCAAGCACTCACGTCGGTTTCCGGGAGATCATCCTCACATTTTGAGCAGGTGACGCTTTTTCTTCCTGCTCCCTGAACTAGCCCTTCCCTTTCTGGGCTGTCGCCTCTCCTTTCTCTGTGCCTTCGCTTGGCTCTCTCCTGAGCACAAGCTGAGACAATGTTTCGAGGTGGTGAAAAGCGATCTGTTTGAAACGGGATCCAGGAAGGAGGGTGAGGAAAGGGAGGCGGGACAGGAAAGGGCGGGGAGAAAAGCCGATAAAGGGAGTGGTGTGACTATGCGATGGGAGCGAGAATCGGGAACCTTCAGACACTGTGTTGGTTGTACCTCAGGATTGTCCCACTAACGGCCAGGTAAATGGGAGTGTTCATCCAGCAACTTCTGTCACTCATTGGTGAGACTTGTCCCCTAGGGTGTTTACAGAACACCACTCACATTCCAGCTCTTACAGGGAGTCCCAGATGCCTGAGGAAGGGTAGAAAACTGTCCAACATGGAGACAGAGGAGCCTGCAAGGGACCATGGAGGGGCCGTGGCCATATATTGAATTGAAGCTTATCTGGATTTTATTTTAGGTGAAACCGAGTTTTGGGGAACTATGTATAGATTCACCAACAACTCCAGAACCCTGGAAAAACTGAAGGACCGCAATTCTAGCCTTGAAGAACAACGGGCCACAACCAAAGGCCTTCTTCACTGCCTGCACGGCACGCGCAGGCTGCTCCATACATGCCGGGAGGGATGGGAAACGTACTGCCGACAGACCGTCTTCCTGGCTGGCTTAGGTCTGGCTTTCCTCTACATGACAGTTCTGGGGTTTGACTGCATTACCACAGGCTATGCCCACACCCAGGGCATTGGAGGCTCCCTGCTCAGCATCCTTACAGCCCTTTCAGCTGTGTCTGGCCTCACGGGAACGATTCTCTTTACCCGGCTCCGGAAGCATTATGGCTTGGTCACCAGGGGAGTCATTTCCAGTTGGCTCCACTTGGGCAGCCTAACACTCTGTGTGTTTTCCGTCTTTGCACCGGAAAGTCCTTTTGATATGGCTGCCTTCTACCTCCCATTAAGCAAGAACTCCTCTTCGAACCAAGAGTTGCTAAAAGATGACCAGGCACGTGTTTATACCTTTAGAAGAAACCTAAACCAACCCATCTTCCCAGACCGCTCTCCTATTCACTGGACCAATAATACAGTCCTGTTTGATGGCCAGCAGGACCCTGAACAGCCTGAGTCTTACATGTCTATCATCTTGCTCTTCTCAGGTGTGATCCTGGCAAGAATCGGTGAGCAGTGGGTCACATGGGATGTGGGGTTCTAGAGCCCGTGGTGTTGATAAGTAATCTTGGAAGCATATTGGTCTCCCCACTAAGCCACTGTATATATTTTCAGCATCATTCATCAAAAACTCATTAATGTGTCAAGCACCGCCCTGGAGGGTGAGGATCCAAGAGTGATCAGACAAAAGCCGTAGTCCCCTGGTGTGATAGCCTGAGTGGAAGGCATTAAGTAAATGGTTATAAACAGAGTGGCCAAGAGGATCAAATAGGGTACGGTTGGTGACTTGAGAACACACAGGAAGGATATCAGGTCTGGGGGCTAGGAAAGTCTTACTCTAGGAAGGCACCCAGAGATCTCCAAAAGACAAGCTAGATGCATGTCATGGAGAGGGACGGCTGCTCCAGGCAGTGGACAGTAGGGCAAAGACAAGTTTGAAAAGCAGAGCTTGAAGATTTGGGGAAGTGGAAATGTAAAATTATTTTCTGGGGGCCAGGCATGTGCGGGCTACAGGCAGTAGCTACGGGAGAGCTGTGTTTTCCCCGAGCCCCTTCTCTGTGGAATAGATATGAGGTGACAGGAGAAATGGTAACTTTATGGGAGCAGACATCAGGGCACTCCTCCCAGAGAGGGGACGGGGAGGACCCTAATCATGAGTCTAGAACCTTCTCTTCCCTACACAGTGTTATCAGTACTTTACCGTCATGCCCTGCCATTCATACCTAGCAGTAAGAACGTACTTGTTTTTGCTGGGGTGTTTATTAAAATGAAAAGGACTAAACATGGGTCCTTTGATGCCTGACAAACCTAAAATGTCAGCGCAGATCAATGGCAGGAACCAAATAGCAACACCCTGACTCTTGTGATTAGACCTACAGATTCCTGGCTGGGAAGGTCTGGGACATGGATCCCTGTGAGTGGGTTTCTAATCAGGCAGCACCATTACTTTGACAAAGTCAAGAGTTCCCACATTTAAGGTCGTTACCTCAGAGTCTCCTTCAGTCCCTGTCAGGTCAAAAACTGGGGCACTAGGAAGGATGGTGGTACGAGGAAGCTGTCAGTCAAAGACCTGCTTCCCTGTCCTTTGCACAGACCTCCCCTGGGTACCAAATTTTCAGGAAGTTAACTAAAGCAAAGTCTCTGCCTTTTTGGGCCTCAGAGAATCACCTTCTCATCTCTGAGCCTTGGGGAACTAGGACCAGGGGTCTGGGATGTTTCTCACTGACTTCTGTCTTGGATTTCAAGAGCCCCATGCTCTGATAAAGCTCGGAAACACTAAGAGAGAAGAAATAAGCTTTTCATGGTGCTTCAAGAAGCTATAAATGGGCTAGCTTTGGAACCTCATTCCTTCATTCCTCTAATGTAATATACATGCAGGAACAGGACAGTGTGCCTCTGACTCTAAATGAGTGGTTTAGAGGGCAGCTCTTTCTGGGTGTGGTAGTGCACACCTTTAACCCCAGCACTTGGAAGGCAAAGGCAAGATTTTTGTGAGTTCAAAACCAGCCTGCCCTACATAGTGAGATCCAGGACAGCCAGGGTTACATAGAGACCCTGTCTAAAGCAACAACAAGAACCCAGTTCTTTCTTCCAGAGATTATCTGACCCTCAAGTATTTTGTGTGAGATATCTAGCAGGTGAGATACCTTTTATTTACTTTTATTTCTACCCTTTTGTCACACAAACTGAGAGAAGACTGGCCAGGAAAAATTCATGTAATGCATATTAGGATACATATTTTGCTGAAAATGGGGGGGAAAACATTCCTAGGAACTCCGTGCTACCAGGATGACTGGGCTTAACTGATGAAAAGGAAATGCTCTCCTCTGGAAAGCCTGAAAGCAGAGCACACATCTAGTGTTCCATATTTCAGAGTTCGGCTCTCTCTGTCTTTCTCTCTCTCTCTCTCTCTCTCTCTCTCTCTCTCTCTCTCTCTCTCT